ACATACCCCGTTAATTGACTGCGTTTTGGAGGACGTGAAGGATCAAACTTAATCAAACCCTCAAACCTGCTTTAACAACCGAAACCTACAGATGTTATCTCAGTAGAGTGAGTAACTTCATTGGGAAACCAGATCTGAATGTTTCAATGTCTAGAGAAAGCGGAGTTTATACCTTCATGGTAAACATGCGACCAGGATAATAAACCTCTCTGGTTCTTTCTAACTTTCAATGTCTTTTACAACTATGTGTCTCATCCCCATCCTTTTCAAATTAATTAGCTTCATAAGTTGACGTAACTTAAACAAAACATGGATAAACGTGCTTAAAACAACAGACACCCACTCAACACTGGATTAACCAGTGATTACAGCCAAATGGTATTGTTTTGGTCCCATTCTGAAGTTCACTTTCACAAATATACTTTTTTATTCTAGTACCATTGGAGCAGCATTATACGTCCTGTACAATTATAGAGCTACACAGAAAAAAAGCCAGCAAACAAGACAAGGAACTTTAATTGGCTAGCTGACAAACTACAGTTTATCGAGAAGTATTTTTATGTATATTCGGTAATCTTAATTCGCTTATCTGCCTTTTGTAAAAACTAGTTGTGAAAAAGACATCCTTCAAGAAAGATTATAATTTCATCATATCAACATTCTGATTCCTAATAAACACAATGATCATCCTATACATAAACAATTTTATTTATCAAATTGCTTGTTCTTATTTTGCTTATTTTCACGAATACCTGCACATTATCGTTGTGTAACATCATATAAAAGAAGTGTATTTATTGATCAAAACAAATTGTATGTCCAATGATTAAAAAAATGAAATATTTTATTTCTACTGCATATATTTGTTGGAAATATCTCGGAAACAATCTATGAAATCTAGTGGTATGTTTACACGTGCCATAAAGCATTGGATCATTGTTTCCCACTTCATATGCACTCTGAGCTAGATAAAGTAAAATTATGTTCAGTTCAAAAACAACAGATAAGATTTAGAACCTTATAGTTTGAATCTATGACTAATACACACCGTAGGCAACGATATGATATATCAAATAAAATAACTAAGCACAGATAATAATAAATGCCAATCTCTAGTAATTACATTGTTTCTTAATTTTGAACATCGTTCTTAACCTTACTGTATATTAGAACTTAAGCTCGTAGAACTGTTGAAGCATTTTATGTGCGATGTGAAAATATTCACTGTTGCGTAAACAAGTGTGTTGATAATTTGCACAATGAGTTTTAGTCAGATAGACAAACGAAATCAACATAGAACCTCGTACAGAAATGTATTGCCTCGCCACCACACTTCACAGCGGTAGGCAAAGAATAGGTGGATAGAAAAAGAGTAATATCAAAGTTGTGTGGCAGAACCAACAATTCAAAGATAACGATAAATGCAAATATTCAACCTTTAGAAGATGTCAACGAGTGACCGATTTCCAGCCATGTCACCAAGAATCCCCATTCATTGATTCCTTTCGTCTCGGAGACCCCAACCAGGCAGTGTATTCCTCTCCATACGCCTGAGGTCAACAGTTAGGGACTTAAAGGACCGGTTCCAGATCTTGGTCTGGCCATCCTGAACCATCTTCGAAACTAATCCAGCTTCTCGTAGCATGCGATATCGAGGCAGTCGGTGACTCGGCATGCGCAGTACATTTCGAAGCCATCTTAGTCGACTAAGGTTCACAACCTCATCAATCGACTTGCCTGTCTTACCAGTACCACTCGCCTAACCTCAATATTTCTCACACGGTGATTCCATCAAAGGCAACCAATACTATGAAGACACCTGTGATCAAAGCCCCGTAAGTGCTTCATGTCTTCTACTTTTAACGGCTATGTTTCAGCCGTACAACAGGATAGAACGATTTGCAGTGGAGTATTTTCGTTTTTCAATAGATAATTGGATATTCCACCAGATGTCACAGATGATACGAGTTGGCAAATGCCTAACCGAGTTGAGATTTTTTGATCAACGACTTCGTTCAAGTTGATGCAACTCTCAAAGTAAGTGAAACGGTCGACACATTCAACCACTTCACTCCCGATCATTGAACTAGAGGTACTTGCTGCACTGCAGTCCTGGAGCACCGTCTTATATTTGGCAGGTGTCCAGTTCTGAAAACAGCCTGGTTTTCTGGACTTTGCTGTTCTCTAGCTCGCGTTAGGTGTCGGATAACTATGAACCCTAGGATCTTGGATGCATTTGCGTTAAACTAATTCCCATATGGTTGTCACAAGAACATTTCTACCTCTTATAAAGTGCTATGATCAGTGAAGTAGACCAGCCTGACGGCACTACCTCTAATCCCTATACACTATATAGTACTTCCATCAATTTAATTAGGAATTTCCTACCTTCATCATTGAAACGTCAGGTGGCAAACTGTTCAGTCCAGCTGCTTTGCATCGTATCAGGTGCCATGCAGCTTCCTCAACTTCGAGGAGAGTTAGAGGACCGATATCTACGTGCCATTCCTGTTCAGGCTGGATATTGGGCAACTGAAGAGTTGATGTAGGTCGTCTAAACTGTGCTTCAAAATGTCCTGCCGACGGTTCTAGCCATCTGTCCTGTGAGGCTTTTAGCGTCCCATTCCTTTTAATGATTGCTTCAATAACCATCGTTTTCTTCTTTGAGATATTTTTAATAGGCTTAAATATTCACCCGCTGTTGCCTTCTCCATCCCTTTCGTTTGAGCAGTATGATTTTCAGGCAATACATCTATTCTAACAGGTAACCTTAGTGATAAAACGGAAAACACGTTCGTGATTTCAGCTGCTTTTCATTATTGACTGTATTCGACTTCAAATCAAGTTTTCTAAGACTATGCATCCTAGCAAGCTTTTACCCTGTATTCTTTTAATTTTTTCCATTGTAGTTCGGAAAGTCATACTGAATTCACTTCGTATTCACTGATGAACAGGCGTTAAATATTAGTTTTGTTTATATAAACCACTGGTTGCGTTGGATGACCCAAGCCATCTGAGAAGATTCTTTACTTCGTATGTTAGCAAGCATAAAATTAGGCAGAAGTTGTTGATTGGGGCCCATTTGACAACCTATGATTTCAAAAATAGGGATTAATTTCTGGTGCACTGGGTGATATTTAACAAATGCATTGGTGATGTTCAAGGCGATTTATAAATTCATATCATGAATATTAAAAGAATTTCGTACACTATATAAATTGATTAATCATGTTGAGCTACCACTTGGTTCTATGGCTACTGAACTCATTAAAGTATTCGTTTTGTTTGAAGCTAAAGTGGACTTCACGTGCTATCGTTACTTTTGGATATTCATTCATCTGAGCTTCTACATTATCATACCAACGTAATAGTTTGTGAATTAGGAAATAAAAAATATGAACAAGACATGCATTATTGAAGAAATATTTCTTTTCAACGCCTTCATTATCAAGCTGTGCAGTCGTATTTATAATCGGTAAAATGACACATAACTACATTAAAAAGTTTCTCAGTCAATATGCAAAATATACACTTCGTGTTGGTAGTGGGATTGTTTCAAGTCTAAGAAATAGGAAATGGGTCAATGAATAAGGAATGAATTGATATAAAATAGTGAAATATGGGTCAAATGTTGTCAATGAAGTGAAAAATGGTGATAATGATGAAAATGAAAGGGAAGTATACCAAAGTGAAGTGAAATGAAATTGAAAAACAATCGAAAGTGAGTTATTAAAGCCAAGGTAGAGAAAGTGATTTCACAAAACGTTTTTGAATGGAAAGTTTCAGTTTTTATTCATGTATGGCTAATGCTTCAGCTATGCATATATGGTGGAAACGCAAACCTTTGAAGTAGTTCAGTTTAACTTTGTAAATTACCATGAAGGATGAAACTCGAAGTGCTGAACCACCTAATTGAACAAGGTGTTGACATATGGATGAAGTCGTTTTCTCTTGCTTACCTTTGGTAAGCCAAACTGGATAATGTTCAGCAACATGTTTTCGGAGGGCCCACTTACAGCTTCCAACAGAGTCAGCTCCGCAAGAGCAAGTGAACTTGTAGATACACATAGATGTGGACATGAGTGTCAGCCTAGCCTTCACTCATTGTCGAATCGCACGGCGGCTGGAGAAAGGCAATCTCAGTAAAGCAACATAAAGGCTACTATTGCTACACTTTGACGGACGGCTTTCCAGCACTTCAGCTGTGGTGTCTCCTTTGAGTTCTGGATTCATGGTTAAAATTTTCTTAGGGACTGTAATAGGATGAGGGGTAATTCATTCCTTCAGATTTCTATCCATTATTCGATAGTGTTGTTCTAAGAGTTTCGGTTTCAACATCCACCATTGTTTCTGTACAGATTTTAGAGATTCTGGAACACAGCGAGTGAATGAGATTTTCCCAACCAAGACGGGGTTTCCACTCCACCGTATCCTAGCAGAGTTAGACCATTCAGCACCTTGAGTTTCATCCTTCATGGTAATTTACAAAGTTAAACTGAACTACTTCAAAGGTTTGCGTTTCCACCATATATGCATAGCTGAAGCATTAGCCATACATGAATAAAAACTGAAACTTTCCATTCAAAAACGTTTTGTGAAATCACTTTCTCTACCTTGGCTTTAATAATTCACTTTCGATTGTTTTTTTCAATTTCATTTCACTTCACTTTGGTATACTTCCCTTTCATTTTCATCATTAT